GTTATGATTTTTTTCCTTGCAGGTGTGGATGAGGAATAAATATTAGTTTTGGCGTTTATAGAAATGTTGCCCTAAGTAACTACAACACGCGCGCAAAAACTAGTATATTGATATTATAAAAAGAAGACATTTCGATTATTTTATCGATTTTAACAAGTTTCGCAACTACCAGACCGACTTTAGACATTTTTTTGCTTAAGGAAAGCTAATTTATAATTATAATATAATTTATAAATCGCGGAAAAATAGCAAGCCTTGAACAAACGTAAAAATATCGATCTTTCAATAAGCTTATTTAAATAAAGAGTGTTTTCGTCACGTTCAGTTACAGCGGTCGTAATTTTCCACATTTAAAACTCAGCTCCATCTTTTACAGTATTACTTTAACACTTCGTAAAACTAAAGTGCACAAGTAAAATAATAATTCAAAACAAAACACAAATATGAAACGGAAACAAAATTTAATTTAAGATATGACGATATCCGGTTCTAAAATAGACCGGAGAAAGATCAAGAGAGACCGTGTTTAGTAGTCTTTTTTGGTCCCAAATTATATATAAATGCCACAAAATAGGAAATTAACGATACCAGATGGAGCTATAAACCACCACTAGCGAGCATGGGAGTGAGACAGTTAAAAGTTACTTTATTGAAGTAAATATCGGGATAGATGAAGACTTAAATGTAAAGGACCGTTGTCAGTATATGTTAGATTTATCTGAATCTTGAGACGAGTTGGTAAATGTTAGTATGGGAAATGAAACAATGCATTAATTTTTACTTTCAATTACCTGTCACTTATTTATTAATAACTTTCATGTCTTATACCAATGAACAATACAATAAATAGAGTCGGACAAAATTGCCACAACGGCTGTTCAAGGAGTGTCTTAATCATCGTATTTCTAGTGTTAATAGCTAAAAAAAGTTATATATTTGATATTTTAATTGCTTTTAAAAGTGATGAGGCAATTTGATTCATATACGTTAGTAGTTTATATTTTGTAGGTGTTACTGATGTATATTTGACAACGTATTTCTCATAAATCAGACATTGGATTGAAATTATACTTTTTTTGTTTGATTAACTATTTTCAACTTAAGCAACAACATAAGAGAAAGCTTACTAAAGGACTTAAGGAATTAACTGTTACCAGAATAGTAGGTTGTTAGATTAAAACTGCGACCCACATAAAAACTAATTGCTTCAAGAACAGTGGGTTAGGTTAAGTTAGAACTGCTACCATCACAGACAATGTTTATCCGGTAAATATAAATATGTTGAAATACAGATGAAGAATACAAGCTAGAAATAAGGATCGGTAATAAATAAAATTCAAACCCAAAAAGTGGATACACCAATAATTCTTTTCGAGGTTGTTTCTCCTTATTACGTTTTTTTTTGAGCTTGTGTTTCAGAATACCATAATTAACAAAAAAATTGGCACGTTTGGTGTACGATGTGAAATTTAACCAATTATCGTAAGGGCCAGTCATAGGATGGGTGACCAAACTTTTATCATATCAAGCTTCTCCATCCGAGTCCCCGATATTTTTTATTTCGACGATGTACCAGAAATCTTACGGATAAATAATAATATTTCGTGATCTGTGTCATTAAGCGTAGTAGGGCTATTGACTTTCCATTATTACACCGGAGTATTCACTCGGGAATCTATTAGTATAAAGCCAGCCAAAGCCAGCCAAAATCCAGTTGATATACATATAAATTGTTTGAAAAAGAATATATTTTAATTCACGTATTTTATTAACGCAAATGTTAACCTTCATTCATATTTATTTTATATTTGTTAAAAAATATTTACTTGAATTCTTACTTTTTACCAAGCAAGTATTGTTTCTACTCAATTAGATATTCTACTCAATTAGACATACGAGTATTAGTTTTACTTCTGATGGTCCTGCCATAGTCCTTGCACAATACCGACTATCAGTAATTGAAATGTAGAGGTGTTTTATAAACATCTTTATTGTTACTATTTAGTATCAGCGAAGTGAACAGATAAACAGACACAAGGGGCGAATGGCCCTACTAGAGACACTATGAGACTATGGACATTAGGACATTTTATTCATAACGACGCAGTTTAATTGTTAAAGAACTTCATTATTATTAATCCTGTTCATAAATATTATACCTTGTTTAAATCCAACTTGAGTACAAAATTGTGCTAAATTTATGCAGATTCTGGTAATATAGCCAATAAGTCTTTGGTGAAAGTTGTTTCACATTCAAGATCCCTAACTAGATAATAAGTAAATTAACATAATATAAAATAAAATGATTACCGTTTCGTATACAACATAATATGAATACGTGTGTTCCCTACTGAACACAAAATAACTAACCTTCTGCGGTAAAATATAACGCAAACGCTAAACGATGAGGTTTCAGTAATCCGTCCCTTACATCGGAAACCGTTTTGTTTACGCTCCCGCACAGGGATAATCTCCACAAAACCTGGAAGATACGATGGCAGGAAATTTAAAAAAAATGCCACACAATTGAAATTGTTTGGGCCTTGTTTATATTAAAAACACGAATTATAGTGCACAGTGTATATATATACACAGTGTATATGACGCAATATTAGTACTTGATACCCGACGCATTAAGATAAAATTAGGTCACATCATTGGCACTATGCTTTGAATACTTATTATTATTAAACATGCATATCTGTGCCCCAAGGAAATGTACAGGTCCTAAGGTATAAAGGCGCAAAGCTACAAATATGTAAAATATTAGTCATAATAAACAAATAAAATGATAGAAAATTATAATATTTCAACGCCAATCAAATATCGCCTCTACTTATGTGTCTATTTAGTTATATAAAAATCTAGAACTTATAACATTATTGTTTTGGTAATGATGATAACGTTGACTATAATGATGTATTATATTATTACAATAAAAAATTTATGCATAAAATTCCTTTATAGAAAATTCAAACAATCCACTGCATTCCCATATCGTATATGTATATGCCATCAAAAATGAGGGAAAAAAAATAATGCACGCATCTTTTTGTTGTTCAGAAAGCATGGCGACCCGTGCGCACACAGCACGCACTCATTGTATGTTAATCTTCCGAGGGCTAGATCAATTGTCTTAGCGACCGACTCCAGGGTTCCGTTGGACGTGTCGTTAACTTCGAAGCTTTATGCGCATTGGGTGACCGCGCGGGAAGTGAAATGCTCGGACACAAAGAGGACAACTGAATATGATCGTTATCTGCCATTTTTTTATTTAAGTAAAATTTGCCATACGCCTCATATGAATGCAATCATAATATGTATGCAGTTTGATTAATATATTTATTGTATTATTACAGAAAAGTAATTAAACCAAGACAGATATAAGTTATTAACGGTTTTTAATCTGATTTTAAGCCTTACAGCTGGTGAGTTTCTTTCACACTTTCTGCATAACAGCCAAAACACCTCCTGCGGGGCATTTCTGCTTATATCTAGTGTAATAATGGAAAGTTAATTGCCCTTCATCTACTACGCTTAATGACACAGATCACAAATAATAAATATATCATTATTAAAATAGTATAGCTGAACAAGTGGTAGGGAATAGATTGTTAGACGAAACTACTTAAAATAATTTGTATTTATTTTTTTGTACACGAATTACATCATGAAATATATAATCATACCTGCAACGAGAGAGTAAATATTCTATTGATTTCCGTTTAAAGGAATTAATAATCGGAATAAAAAGCATGCCGAATTTCGTATTATAAACCCAAGTTACTTAGTGGCTTGTATTTTTTCCGGTGTAAAAGTGTCAAGTTTGAAAGGAAAAAATAACATACGTTATCGTCTTTTAGATGTAGAAAGTCCTTAGTTATTCGGACACTTGGTTACCCCACACTAGTTGTCTCCCGGCCCATAGATATTGAAATTAATGTTGAAAGCTTCAAGTTATGAAACTGGAGACTTCCTAGATCTTTCTTGAAGGCTTTCAGAGTTTAGAGTTACAAATAACTGTGTGTATGATAGTATCGTAATGGGTTTTCGTAAGGCTGTAGACATACACGTCGTCACCAGGCTTCCTAAGTACATGTATTGTCTTCCCCTAGAGAAGGACTTAATCCAACCAATATGGGCCTAATGTGGATCGGTGGGTGCTAACCAATGCAGATCCAGTTTAAACCAATGGTTTAATGCACCTTTCGAAGCAAGGAGGAGTTGGTGCTAATAATTTTTAGTAACACATCTTATATGTTGTTTTCGATTTCATGCTAATTTGTCTTGTTTTTGTTGACTCAACAAAAACAAGGTAGGATGATAGCAATCCTGCAAAAAAAAAACATCATTCTAACACACCTGATGTCCAAGGTTTACAAATGACGCTGAAGGGAGTACATCGTTGAGATCAGTCGCTGAAGTTGAAAAAAAAACCCTTTATGGAAATACAAATTCAATAGAATCTATTTAGTGTAGCGCTTATGAATATCGAAAAGAAATATGATATTTGATTTTTAAATTTACAATGATTGTTGAAAAACAGTACACTAAATTAAAAAAAAAACGATGTTGTTGTACAAATCGCAACAGGTCAACAGGCATTTGCAAGTATCCTAACTGGGTCATACACAAAATCAGTTCTCAAAAAAGAAAAAAAATACACATATCGATTCGTTATTTGGTATTTATTTAATGACAAGCATTAAAAGTTTAAAAAAATTATAATCATAGATCAGTCTTCATTATTTCAACAGAAAAATCACTTTTTCATTTATTTCCTGTCTACAGGATAGATTAAATAGTCAACAGAAAATAACAAAAAATATTTTTTTATATTTTAAACTTAACAATTATATTAGACATTTATTTTATATTAATCAGAATTAGTTACGTTCCATAATCATAAATTAACAAAAGCAAAAACAAGCAACTAAACCCAAAAAAAAAAACATCACAGCATGTCTACAGATTGTACATATCCATCTGTAGAACTAATACTAAAATATGGAATCGTCATCGGAATCTTGCCACATTGCGACAGAAAACCGTTTTCGTTTGGGAAACACTTCTAAAGACGAATCAGAGTCTTCCAAAAGATCTAGACGCGGTCGAAGTCTTTTGGTAGGCCTCACATTTTGTTGAATTGCATCAGTGGTGACTTCGGATGTTAACCTGTCACTAAAGCCCGGTGACATTGACACAGTTGAATTTTCAGGGGTATTTGAAGGCTCTTCAGGAGTATTTGGTGCTTCCGGAGTATCGGGAGTATTTAAAGCTTCTGGCTCACTAGGAAATTTATAGTTGTCCATGGGTTTATAATTGACATCTATTATCCCTAATCCATAATGAGGGCATTTCATATGTGTGGCACAAATCTGGCAACTTAAACGTCTTACTTGTATTACTTTCGGTTCTATGTAACTCCATGTTAACTGATGGATATCACGTGTACCTTTAAAAAAAATTGTTTAAAATTTCTTCTACATCAGAAATAAGTAATTCGTTGATTCTATACACTTTAATGCCTTTACAGTTTGCAAACAAACAAGACATTAAGCCTTCCAAATTTGAAACATCGTTGCCTCTTGCCACATGAATATCACAAAGTCGTTTTATGCACCCACCTACACCATCGGGTGCTCCTTTACCGTGGCCTCTTTCACTGAAATGCCATGTGATTGTATCCACTCCAAACTCCTTGCTTAGATAGGTAGCAACTAAATTGAACATGGATTTATTTCGGTATTGTGTTGAGGGACCATCACTAAGAATATGTAAGTGTTTTAAATTAGGTAATAGTTCTTTAATTTTTGCTATTAGTGCTTTCAAATGAACACAAATCAGAACGGGGTCGTGTCTGAGATTTTCCGAAACCGTACAAAATGAAGTCGATTGTAAAAAATTATTTGGGGGTTCCGAATGTGTACTGTAATATACTGATGTATGCAACGATATTTGAGGTCTCGATCCACCAAAATGAGCAGATTGGATTTCCTGACTATATTTGCAAGTGTAGTTTTCCGAAAAGTCTATATGAAGTAGACCGTCTGCAGGTGAAATTTGTTTCTTTATGTCATGAATTGTATTCATTTGGTGTATCATATAAGCAGTATGTTTCATGAATGTTGGTAACGTTGAATTTAAATTATCTAGAAGTCTTTTTTTAGTTGATTGCACTTTTTCTTTTATTGTTTTTTTAATTTTTTTTGGTATACCTTTAATGACAACAGTTACATCTTTTGTAACCCATCTTTCATACGTAATGGAATTCTCATCTTCAAAATTATTAGAAGTAATAATATTTTCTTTACATAAAGGACACTTTCTTTCCAAACAACGAACGTTTAAAATTTTATTGCAGCATAGAGACTTAACTAGATCAGTCGCGCTTTTAAAAAGAATGACTTGCGCATAATGAAGTACTTGAACAAGATAGTTTGTGTTCGTATGTATAATACATAAACATGTATTCCTACTTTCAACTCTAGGAAATAAAATCCAAAATGGCCGATATCTGCGAAATGTTTCGTAAGATATTTTCATTCTAGTTTTCATTACAAAAGCCTTGTGAAGGTTTATTAGTGAGTCATTTAAAAATCGTATTTGTTTTTTTATTTTATTTCGTGTAATTATTTCTTTTATTCCTGATGTAGACCTACTATTTTCATCTTGCAAAAGAAAGTCACGAACCACTTTTTTTGTCTCTTTAACTACCAGAGACTTGTTAGGCTTTCTTTTATTTTCCTTTTCTCTGTCTATATTTTTTCTTACTCTGAGACATCGCATTCTATACTTGGCTAGTTTAGACTCTAATTCACATATTTTTTTCTTCAAATAAACATTCTCATTCTTAAGAAGGTATCTATTACGTGGTGATATGTAACTACCACCACTTGCACGTGATAGTGTTGGCGTTGAAGGTGGAGTATTTGTTTCTATAAAATTATGCAAAGCATCGTGTTGTCTTTGCTTTTCTCGTCTCTTCTTGCCTTTTTCTCTCCACTGTTTCCTTATTTGTCTTTGTTCTCTCGGAGTAAAGTCGGTGATAGTTTTAAGGAGTCCTTGTTCTTTTTTCTTCTGATACCTTTCTCTATCTTTTCTTCTTCTTTCTTCTGAGTCTGTTTGAGTCATTCGAGCTCTAACACGTCGCACACACACATAATTTTTTTTGCTCGCGCCTTCTTTTTATCTTTTCTTCTTCAGATATCTGAGATGTAGACCTACTTTTTCGTGGCATCTAAAAAATATAGGTATAATTAATATTTTGTAAGTAATTGTTGCGATTCATGTATTTATTATGCAAAATAAATTAAAATAATCCCAAATATATTTTATTTTTAAAATATGTAAATTAAATATAAATATAATTTGTAGCAAATATAATTCATAATGTGAAACTAGCAAAAATGTATATAAATAAATCATAATAAGATTCCTGTAGACTTCCACTTTTCTGTAGACGTAGTGTGTGCTCTTGCGTTTACTTTTCTGTAGACAAGAACTCTTCTGTAGCTCATATATCTACAGAAAATATTTCTACAGAAGGGACGTCCAGGTGATTAACATAAGATAGCATCATTTTTTTCAAGGTTAGACTTTTAAGGATATTGTATTCACATACTACTCCCCAAAATTGACAACGACAAAAGAATCATTCCATTTTTATTGTTATACTCACATTGTTACATACGATGTAGGAAAGAGGCACTAAAAACGAATGAAAATCTGTGTATCCACATCAAAATGTATTTTTTCGATACTTTAACACGACGGTACTGTAATGGCTACCGACGACTGACACAGGACTCAATGCTGCCAACACATGAAAAACAAAATTGATTTGCGTTCCGTTACATGCAGATTATTACCCAGTTTACACGTCTACAGGAGTAGTCTAGCAAATTGAGAACAAGATGTTTATTCATTTAATTTCAATAATTTAGCACGTATTTATACAAAGATCTTATTAAATTACGCTTTATATGAAGGTTAATCATCCTGTTCCATAATTTATTGAAAATATAGTTCGTAAATATTTTTATTATCCTCTTGAAGTTTTGGATTCTGTTTTGAACAGTCTACTGGAAGGGAAGTTTATAAAAATAAATGCAATAAATAATAACTGTAATACAAACACCGTTATTTCATAGACGGAAAAGTAAATATAAGGGTTGTAATAAATAAATAACTAAGTGTTGATGTAACATAATTATAACTAAATCATTTTTTTACTCGAGAACAGTTTTTTTTCAGCTTTTGTGTATGACCCAACTGTAAAAGGCATATAAAACACAGCTAGGAATCTTGGCCGGAAGTAGATATTTTTAACCTTTAAGCACCGACGTGCATTTTTTGTAACGTTAGTACCGACGTGAGGCCTGAGAGGCCGCTTATATTATGTATTGTTTTTTAAAGAAAGTTTTGATTTAAATATTTGTCTCTGCAATATGATAGAAAATAAAGGTTTCTAAGAAAAAATAAATAAAGAAAGACAACGATCTTTATTATATTTTAAAATTTAACACTAGAATCATATTTGGTTTGAATTTTGGGGGAAAATCCAACTAATAGCTATAAAAAATCATAACACAAAAAATACTTTTCTTAGAATAACAAAAACTTGTATTTCTTACTTAAGACTAATATAACTTTAAGAAAAAAAATATAATAGGAACATAAAACTTCTCTAAAAAAAATGTCCGCAATCGAACTACATCTTAAATTCTAAGCACAGTCAGGGCACACTTGTTTCGCGCACTGTAAACAAATGTCCTTTGTGTACATCAATAGGCCAATAAAAGCGTGCAACTCAATCATATCGGTATCTTTTAGCTCTGAGCGATCTTGCTTCCTATATTTACATCTATATTCAGCCAGCTTCTCATTGGTTCTTAGCAAAATCTCTGATAACATCTCGTCATTTATATATTGTTTCCACAAAGAATAAGGATCCTTTCCATCATTTTCGGTCAAATTGGATATAGGAAAATAATATAATGTTGTGGTGTTCTAACAGATGATCTATTTGGAGGCGATTTAGACCACTTATATTTGTTCTTTCGTCTAAAACATCCCAGGCTTGAGAGAGGAACATCTTCATCTGATGACGATGATGGCGCGTCCAGTTGTTCAGGTTGAGTTTCTTCTGTATCAGAAATATCAGTGCTGGTATCCGTGTCATGGTCATTGTGCTCTGGACAAAAATCTTCGTCAACGTAGTCAACCTCAGATCCGCTGGAATCTTCATTCGTTCAGCTCTCAATTACTCGCGCATAATTTGGATTAGATGCATTTATACTTATCCGAGGTCTCTTTGAGTGATGTAAATCTGTCGCAGAACTATTTCTTTTACTACCTGAAGTTCCTGGTCTATCCATAATTTACACTATCTGTAAAAATAATAGTTTATTATAAAAAAGAATAAAACAAAAAACTTACGGAAGTACCGACGTGAGGTCTGAGAGACCGCGTCGGAATTTCAAATCGTAATTACTCACCAAATGCGCGTGCGACTTTACGCCTTCCTGTTTCAATGTCAAAGTAGGCACTGTTCTTGCAGCTACTTAAAAGCAGGGATCGGAATTTGGTGGGGAAAGGGGTAAAGTAGCGAGTCAAGTGCCTGTCAGGGCCTCTCAGACCGCACGTCGGTACTTAAAGGTTAATATAATAGTTCATTTAAATAATCCTGTACAAGTATTCATATTCTTATCATCCAAAGGAGTAAAAAACAATATGAAGGAAATTCTTGGACCCATAAATGTTATACTAAGTGGTTGTGATAATGTTATTGACTTTGTGATAAACAGCACAATCTAACCAGTAAATGCTCAACATTTATTATCTTCAAGTTAGAAATGGAACTATCAAAAGTTTTTTGTGATTTATTAACTCATAAAAGGTTTTGTTATTCAAATAAAGTTATATGTCTTTCGTTATCACCGTGAGTTAAAACTCTTGTACAGAGTTTTGATTTATTTTGGGGTTCGCTCACTATTACGTGACAAAACTGTAAAAGTACAATAGTTTAACAAATTTCACATTTATTTGTAGGATGCAGGATCTAGCAATGAATATACTTGGTTCTTAAACTTTAATTACAGTATTTGTTCTACGGAAACTATTCTACTCCTCACATAGCTTTTGCTTGATGGCATAGCACAGTGGTTAGTGCGTTTGGTCTGCGATGCGGAAAGCATAAGCAACTGTCATAATGGTCGGTCATAGAATGGCTGACCCAAAATTTATTATTTTTAGCTTTTCCATGCTTCGGAAGGCATGTTAAGTCGTAAATCCCGGCTGCAGTCGCAGTCGTTTGTGGTCTATTTTCTTTCATCATCATCTCAGCCGGCCTACCCCAAAAATCTCCATGATTACGGTCGGTTGTACGCGGTCGTCTATCTATCTCGTGAAACCTGCCTACATACGCTCCGTTTCTTGCCTATTTTCTATTTTGTTCCAATTATGGTGAAGGCATAAGCCATTAATAGACTGATGATGATATAGCTCAAGATGTTCTGAATCATAAATTAGAGCCTTTGCAATTCAAAATTCGTTCGCTGACGTATTAGTACTGCCGCGAGAAACAGCTGAAGATCATCCACGGGGGGTGAAATACGTGTAGAATATAGAATATAAATAGAATATAGTTGGTGGTGGTCGCAAGATTTGTTTCCGCTTATACACCACATATTTTAAATATTATGACGCCTATCTTCTCTGTCTTAATGTTATAAGATTACATACATCCATCTAAATAAATAAACGCCACTCACAGGTTTGAGTAGTCAAGGTGTCGGTGCAGCGTGGCACTACTCACTGCACCTGTCCCGTTTGCTGCCAACGTATTAATTGTCGGCTGTAATTAAAACAAATTGCGTCCGACACACGACTGCCACCCGACTGTTAGTCGCCAGTGAAAGTTGACAATCCTTATTATGTTATTAAACGCCATTATGCTTAGTATTTATTTTTTTATTTTTATAATACAACTTAAATTATTATTTTCGACAGTCACTTTGTCTAGAAACATTGTAGTCATATTGAATATGAATATTAATTTCGCTAAGAAACTTGATTACCAAGCGTTGTCTGCATTTGATATTTTATAGAATAATGGTTCAAAGTATATGTTTACACGTAAAAAATGGATTTATGAGCAAACAAAATAATTCAAAGGTATCTATTGACCAAACTCGTTTCAGAGAAAAACCTCTTAATTCAAAATCACAAAATCTTTCATCTATGTGAAATCAAACTTTAATACTTCTTTATAATACAAAACTGGAACGAATATTGTAGTCGTTTGTGCGCTCGGGGCACTAACGTCACTACAAAACCAAGTTCAAACGACGCAGAAAAATATATTTCGAACGATATTAATTAACAGAAACGTGAACTCTCAATATGTATGTACGTTGAAAGTTGAGGTTCAATATTTCTTGTACATTTACAAGTGGACAAGTGGAAAGAGATCGCAAGCTAAAAACAACTTTGAATTTAACTTTAAATATTATCCAATCAATTTATCAATTAATTAACATTTAGATAAATCTAAGAGGTAGGTACATATATAATGATACTTTATTCACCGCCAGCAAATAATCAACGATTTGTAGATTTCTAAACCAGTTGTTTTTACTTTCGCAGCCAGACGTTTTGCTAATAAAATATATCACCGGTAATTAATTTATCTGCTTAAAATATTTAAGTCTTGATTTATTAAAGTGTTTCCGTATATTTTAAATAGATAGGACGACTTTCTAATGGACAAAGAAACGTTTCAATTTTAGGAAAACACGTGCTGTTGGTCATTCTGGTCAAATGTCTCAAAGATATTATATAATCCAAGTATTAGTCATAAAAAAATGTTCATAGAAATTGGTAGGTACTATAAATAAAAATATAAAAAGAGAATGTTAATCTGTATTTATAATGAGTGATGAGTATAAACATCGGTATTCGGGCAGGAATTTGGAAAATTCTTTTAGCATTAGACAGACATAGATATAAGTATGCACAATATCATACGTTGATATAACCGGAGACTTATCAGAATCCTAACTCACCTCAGTGGAGGTGCTTAAAATTTGACCCCTCACACATCTCACGTGAAACATCACGGGTAGGTATTATCCTTTTCATTTACATTCTCCTTATCCAACTTTTGCCATGTCTTTTCTTCTCTATCTCTTCTTATTCTAAGTTTTTAATAAGTTTTAAGGAAGGTCCTAGAAAGCAGAATTAAAAAGGGCTGATTATAATGAATAATTAATTAAAACTAATAATTGATAATTTGTGTTTCGTTTCGTTACAGCCGCACTGTACAAGGGCGTTGTGTTGGTTACTGATCGATGTTTAGCCGTTCAAAAAATGACGCTATCCAATTAGAGGACTAGCCTCCTAATTGGATGGATGTGCGAGTTGTCTACGACATATACACAATATATTATC